TTTTTTTGATTGGCTTGACTTCACTCATACCCAATTAGTTTATTAATCTTGTCATGTCGAAAACACTCATTATGAACCGGGTGGTTTAAGAAAGACTCAAACCCTCTAATTTTGTGTTATGATCGTGTCGTGCTAACGAGGGTTGTTACATGTTGACAAGGGCCTATGACCATCCTCTTCTTGGTTTTCTAAAAATGGGTGGTTGACGATAGATGAATTAATTTTCTTGCTAAAGGATAAGATGACCCCATTTATCAGCTAAGGAAACAATCCCAATTGAGAAAGAAATATTACTCGAGAGTTATTTTCGTTATGAAATGTGAAAATTTTGGAGGGAAACCATAGAAAATAAAGCCCACAACACGGTTTTAGCAAGTGAAGCACAACTTCTGTCACTTTGGATGATAAATCTAATAGATTCACTTGAGTCCTAAATCACAAGGGCTTATGAGTATAATATAGAACATTAGGGAGATAAAGCGTAAATCTTCCCAACCACATAATAGTAAAAAATAATTAACCCAAAGATAAAAATATTAAACAGTTAAAAAAGAAAATATTCAATCTAAAACAATACATTATATTATCATTGTCATTTGGTGTTACCATTCTAGCGTGACAAATGACTATTACACCTGGTGATGATAGAGTGTATGAAAAGTATAATCGATATAGACATGCTCAGACAGAATCTGGCCCAACACTTATGTTGAATGCTCATCTCAGGTACGCCATAATGCTACCATAGTTAACGAGAGGATGGATATAGTTGAGGTTAGCCCGCCGCCGCCTGCACATATTGATGTTGCTTCTNTAGTATATTTTTTTTGATTGGCTTGACTTCACTCATACTCAATTAGTTTATTAATCTTGTCATGTCGAAAACACTCATTATGAACCGGGTGGTTTAAGAAAGACTCAAACCCTCTAATTTTGTGTTATGATCGTGTCGTGCTAACGAGGGTTGTTACATGTTGACAAGGGCCTATGACCATCCTCTTCTTGGTTTTCTAAAAATGGGTGGTTGACGATAGATGAATTAATTTTCTTGCTAAAGGATAAGATGACCCCATTTATCAGCTAAGGAAACAATCCCAATTGAGAAAGAAATATTACTCGAGAGTTATTTTCGTTATGAAATGTGAAAATTTTGGAGGGAAACCATAGAAAATAAAGCCCACAACACGGTTTTAGCAAGTGAAGCACAACTTCTGTCACTTTGGATGATAAATCTAATAGATTCACTTGAGTCCTAAATCACAAGGGCTTATGAGTATAATATAGAACATTAGGGAGATAAAGCGTAAATCTTCCCAACCACATAATAGTAAAAATTAATTAACCCAAAGATAAAAATATTAAACAGTTAAAAAAGAACATATTCAATCTAAAACAATACATTATATTATCATTGTCATTTGGTGTTACCATTCTAGCGTGACAAATGACTATTACACCTGGTGATGATAGAGTGTATGAAAAGTATAATCGATATAGACATGCTCAGACAGAATCTGGCCCAGCACTTATGTTGAATGCTCATCTCAGGTACGCCATAATGCTACCATAGTTAACGAGGGGATGGATATAGTTGAGGTTAGCCCGCCGCCGCCTGCACATATTGATGTTGCTTCTACATCTTCGTCGGCACCATCTACGGCTTCACCTGCACGGACACCTGCACCGCCACTTACACTGCCAACTGCACATGTACCTCCACCTACACCTGCACATGTTGATGTTGCTTCTACATCCTTACAACATATGGCAGAAGTTGATGTTTTCGCACCACTATCGCATTTTTGAATCGCTACCAGTAGTGTCAGTAGTTGTGACACTGGCAGTTCTAGTCACACCATCATCTACACTTGCAGAGCTCAAAAACGAAACAATGTTTGCTCCAATTCTTGAGGATTGTTGATTGGCATATTAATGACAATTTGTCGAGGTCTTCGTCTATTGGAAGTACGCAAATCTTCACTTAGATTTTTTCTTTCCCTCAAACAATATTGTCATTCGATCATCACTGTGCTTATGGCCCTAAGTGAATAACGTAAATGAGAATTCAATGGATAAAAAAACTTATCCTCTAATGCCCAATGATGACTCANTCTTCACTTAGATTTTTTCTTTCCCTCAAACAATATTGTCATTCGATCATCACTGTGCTTATGGCCCTAAGTGAATAACATAAATGAGAATTCAATGGATAAAAAAACTTATCCTCTAATGCCCAATGATGACTCAAACTTTCAAACAACATTCGCAGATGATAATTCATGGTTCGAGATAAAGTGTGTACAATGAAGCATTTATAAATGTTGAATAAATAGTCATAATGAAATTGTTTGTGCTTTTGCAGTTGCATGGCTTTTCAACAAGCCACATGATGAAGTGACTAAACCCTGATTCAATGAAATTGATGATGAAGTGTCAAAACCCAGATTCTTTCAAACCATGTGCTAAAATGGCCTTTTGAATCACTTTAGCAAGTTATTGTTTCAACTGACTCAACATTATAGCGCGACATGACTACACACTGGTTATTGACCTCAACACTGATGAATATAGACTGGTGAATTTNACTGTTTCAACTGACTCAACATTATAGCACGCATGACTACACACTGGTTATTGACCTCAACACTGATGAATATAGACTGGTGAATTTTTCAGTAAACCATGTATTGAAATTACAAAACCCTATTTTTTGATGAAAACTGATGTGACGAGGACATATGCATCATAAACATGAAGTGACCACAAATTGTTAATATTTCGATCCAAAAGAACGAAACGATGATTATAAGAATGAGAGATTTTTCGATCCAAAAGAGTATTATGCAAGAGTACGATGAGAATGAGCATGTCGTGCCAATGAATCAGATGAATTATGCACACAACTAAGCAAACTTGGTATATCGGTGCCACATCGGCATTCATTAATGATGCAACGAAGGAATAGAGAAGAATATGAATTAATAGTTAAACATGTCTGAAAAGAGAATAATAGGATGGTGGTGCGTCGGTGTCTATATTATATGCTGCAACTTGCAACAAACATTATGGGAACTGCATATGGAGAAAAGTTAACCATTTTTGAGCAAAATACTATCTTGTTTGATGAACAATATCTATCGGAGGATTATATGTATGATAAAGATTAACGATTGTAATAAGTATCAAAATAGAAGTGTCTACCTCATATCTTTTAAGTGGTAATCAGTGTGAAATAATCTCATAGTTTTATCAATGTAATCAGTGTCGAGTCATGTCACTATTTTATCAGTGTCTTGTCATATCACAACTTTAACAGTATCAAGNTGTCTTGTTTGATGAACAATATCTATCGGAGGATTATATGTATGATAAAGATTAACGATTGTAATAAGTATCAAAATGGAAGTGTCTACCTCATATCTTTTAAGTGGTAATCAGTGTGAAATAATCTCATAGTTTTATCAATGTAATCAGTGTCAAGTCATGTCACTATTTTATCAGTGTCTTGTCATATCACAACTTTAACAGTATCAAGTAATGTTATTACTTTATCAGTGTCAAGTTATGTTATATCTTAACAATGTGAAGTTATTTCAAAATTCTTTATAATATTATTGTAATCTTCAAATGCTCAACCGTGCCTATATAAACCATTAGTCATACACGTGTAAAACATAAAAAAAAATGTCTAGCGCACATCAAATAGGCATTTCAACAAAACCAATGAAAGTTCTTTATCAGGCAATAAACAACATATCTCATCTTCAACCAATCAACGTCAATGCTCAGCTGACCTACCAACACTTTGTATACAAATTATGGTGGTGTAACGTGATATAGACAAAAGCGTAAATTCTATAATGAGTCCATCAATACTCATAACCCATTAGGGGACGTTTGCCACGTAATTANAAACTTTGGAACATAGTTCTTTTACTTGGGTCGTATACAAATTATGGTGGTGTAACGTGATATAGACAATAGCGTAAATTCTATAATGAGTCCATCAATACTCATAACCCATTAGGGGACGGTGGTGTAACGTGATATAGACAATAGCGTAAATTCTATAATGAGTCCATCAATACTCATAACCCATTAGGGGACGTTTGCCACGTAATTATCGTACCTACAGTCTGTCTCTTGGTGCTCATATCAAACCCACACTAAGGTGATTGGGTTTGAAAAATAAATTTAAAAGTGAATAATTTTGAGAAANACACTTTGTATACAAATTATGGTGGTGTAACGTGATATAGACAAAAGCGTAAATTCTATAATGAGTCCATCAATACTCATAACCCATTAGGGGACGTTTGCCACGTAATTATCGTATTGCAACCTACAGTCTGTCTCTTGGTGCTCATATCAAACGCACACTAAGGTGATTGGGTTTGAAAAATAAATTTAAAAGTGAATAATTTTGAGAAATAAAGCAGTGGTCTGAAACTATAGCAGCTGCCTGAGCTGGTTTAGACGATGCATCCTGCAGAATAAAGGGACCACAAAAAAACCACCGGCTTCAAACAGTGGAGTTTGTCCACCTTTGACAACACAAACTACATTACATTGAGCTAAAAGTCTTAAATAAAATGAAACTATAATAGCACAGCACTAGAAGTTCTTATGAAGGCGAAAGTGGAAACTATAGATTGTTCTTTTTCTTTCCCAGGACATGAGGAAACTGGGTACAACTTCCTTGCATCACACACATGCACTAAGATGGGAAGGGTATGATATCCGAATTGCTAGACTGCAGGTCAGGGTGAGCCCAATCAACAAAATTCACTAGAAAATTGACATCATAAGAAATATGATTCCCGCATGTCCAAAATGAGAAAAGAAATAAATATAACAATAGGGTAGTAAAGTGATTATATTATGTTGCAGGGACTAAATGTTCCAGCAACAATCTTCATATACAAGAAGGTATCTTATTTTTGTACACCAAAAACAGACAACGATGAATTCGTGCTAATACTAAATCAAGTTATGTCCAGTCAACATTTGAAACCTCTGCAAGCAATAAGCCACAATATGACAATTACAGCAAGTAACGCTCCTCCAACCATCACTTTCATTTGAAGGTTCTGCAGCCACATCTTACGACGTAGTTGCCTTCCCTGCCTTTGGAAGCTGTCAGCCTGAACACATTCCCTCAAGCAGATTAACCACAGATTACCACATTCCCTTTCAGGCGCATACTGCTGGATAAAATAGCAAATACCTGGAACTGAAGATTTTCTGTTTTGTCCACAAGTAGTTCAATCTTCTCACCACGATCCAAAACCTGCGGCCCAGAGAAAAGAGTTCATCGAGTTAGTTCACAGAAATTTATTAAAATTTTATAGGATTTGGCAGCCTGAAAATAGAGACAAATACCACTATTCCTGGCAAGCAAGAACTTCTTTAAAGAAGTTGCCCTACATTGCTAACACATCAAATATCCTTACGTACTTTATAAGTATCACCTTCTCTCCCTCCTTGCCCACATCCAGCCAAAAAGGAAGAACTTTCCCCTTGTTAACTCGCTCATCAATTCATAAAAAATCATTTCCAATTACTGCTATAATATAGAAACATCTCCCTGCTGGTACACCAGCCCCAGGGTTACAGAAATGTTAAACTTTGTCCTGATTCCATCTCCATGCAAGGTAATCCTCAGTCTTTTAGGGAATTTGTTTGAAATTATGTGTCGTTGCATACAATTTCCACTTCATAGAATCTTGACTAGTTCATTGCAATTCTTCTAATTTTTATACATATAGGCATAACTTTCTTTCTGTGTGGGGAGAATTTCGCACAAAGAGTCACCACCTCGTACGGACGGGGATGGCAATAGGAAAATTATGAGTAACTGCAAGACAAGAACACACCTAAGTGAACTGATGGCTGGAGACGACCAAAAGGACTCCAATGCTTAAGTCAGAAAGTGAGTCAAAGATAGTATATATTGAATAGGCTAGGATTGAATCCCTTTAACCGGTACCTGGAGGCCTTTATTCATATTGATAGGAAGTCATGTCCCAAAAGCACTCGAACTCTAAGTGGTAATAGAATCAACCTGATCACTAGGTCCTCAAAATTCGTAGTAGTATTAGACTACGACTCTCGTTCCTAGGTTGAACTGTATTTACGTAGGACTCATATAGTGGAGGTGGGCAAGCAAATGGTGGTAGCTAGGTACCTCCCAGGTTTGGGCTGCCTGCTGGCCAACTGGGTCCTCCTTGGTAGGCTACCAGTCATCCAAGCTCTCCTTGTTGTGCCGGTCGGCACTTGTGCCTAGGATCCCCCAACATCACCTTTCCTCTATGCGTCATCTATAGTGGGCTACCGATCGGCAACATGTTACTTGGAACCCCCACATTTCCCCCCATAGCTTATTTAATGAACTAAATTAATTAAGGTATGTTTCTTCTGAAAAACAGGAGCTTTTTTTAGCCAAATTCTTTGTTAATGGGCCCTCATTACCTAAAGGATTAATGCTTTAAGTTTCTTCTCTCTCTTCCCTCTTTACTTACTTCCCTTTGTGTTCCTTCACTTGGTTCATAGGCTGGAGCTTGGCTGATAGATAGAAAGGAGAAACATTCATTTTTGCCTGTACAGGGGATTGACTTACTTTACTCATTAGCTAGTCAAGTGATAAGAGTTACTCAAGAGTNTGGTTCATAGGCTGGAGCTTGGCTGATAGATAGCAAGGAGAAACATTCATTTTTGCCGGGGATTGACTTACTTTACTCATTAGCTAGTCAAGTGATAAGAGTTACTCAAGAGTCAGGTCGAGTCTAATAGGGTCAAGGCAACATGCTAGAATGCCTTCTTGAAGAAAAAGGTTACTGACGTAAAGACTTGAGTTGGCGATCTTCAAGAGGAACTTGTAAGGATAAAAAGGAGAATGTTGAGATAGAGGAGCAAGTGAAGAATGTCGTATACGATCATTACTCGAGATCCTGGACAAAGTCAAGAAGAAATATGCAAAAGTGAAGAACAAGTCATTCGGAGATGGTTGGGGAGAAACTCTCAAAGCAGTTGGATTAATGGGTTATATCTAGCTTGGGAGGACGTTCCATGGCTTGAGAGTGACTTCCTAATTTCTAAGATCATAGAGAAATTTCTTGGTTATGGTGGTTTGAGTCTTCTAACACTTGTGCCCCCCGTTCCGACTGAAGGGGGAGCGTCCCCACGAGTTTTAGGCGTCTGATGCTCGGAGAGGTGAAAAATAAGTAAGACTAAGTAGCCTACTAAGCAATCATAGAAGTTGTTGGTCGTTTGTCAAAGGCTAAGTAACTTAGAGGACAACCTTAGAGGTTGTATGGAGACGAAGTTCACTGAAAGGCAATTATGGAGGTTGTATGGAGGCTAAGTAGCCTAAAGGGAAATCATGAACATTACATGGAAGCCAAGTTGCCTAGAGGAGCAACCGTAGAGGTTGGCTAGAGGCAAAGGAGCCTTGAGATGCTACCACGAAGGTTGGATGGAGGTATAACCATGGAGGTTGGCTTAAGGCAAGATAGCCTTGAGGTGCAACCACGGAGGTTTGCTGGAGGTGCAATCGTGGAAGTTGGCAAGAGGCTAAAAATTTTACCTTTATAGGCAACCACGAAAGCTGCAATAATAAAAAAAATAAAGGAACACTTAGAGTTGTGAAAAACAAACTTTTCTTTACTAATCAATGAGATCGAGAAACAAATGTCTTTGAAGACTTATTGAAATAATAAAACATTGTTGACTAAGCTAAAAGTAAAACTTAGTTATCTGGTTGGATTTGTTGTTCTTCCTGCTCCTTGGCAGTATTTTCCTTGTCAATGTACCTAGAGAAGTGGCCTTACTAGACTATTCTTCTAGATGGCGCCTGAGTGCCTAGCAATTCTCTGTGCAGTGGTCTTTGTCCTTATGATAAGAATAATAGAGAGTTTGGTCCTGCTTTGATGAATCTCCTATCATCTTAGGTGGCCACCCAAAATACTCCTTATCTTTGATTTGGTTCAGGACTTGATAGATAAGCTCATTGAAGACAGTGTTGGCTCATTAGTAGAAGTCTCTCATTCTCTTGGATGACCCGTCTCTCCTTGATGGATTGGAAGTGTTGTCTTCCTCCATCTAGTTTTTTTTTTTTGAGAAGATGGGTCGACTGGTCCCTTGTCGTCCTCCACCTTCATGTACCTTTTGGTATGCTCCTACAAGTGTGATGTACGCCAAGGCAACCACATGGTAAGGTGGTTCCTCAATTCGTTTTCCTTGGAAGGCCCAAACAGAAAGAGACAACGACAATCTTCTCATTGCACTCTTCTATGTTGGTATAGGTTTCCAAGTACCTCGTGGCATAATCACGGAGAGTCTCTCCATGTTTTGACGTGATGCCATAAGAGCCAATCTCCCCAAGCTGGAAGGGAACATCTTACACATCAATGCCTCATTGCTCGTTCAAAGGGTAATCTTATTAGTAAAGGCCGTTATGTGGAGCACGGGATCAGACCTACCATCATACAACTTGAAGGACAAAGGGGTGACCTTACGTAGAGGCTCGGCTTCTCGTATGGACCAAACAAAAGGAGTAATGGTCATTTTACAAAGGTCTGCCTTACCCTCTCCTTTTGCAGAATATATAAGGTCATCTTGAGCGAAGTTGTGTTATAGTTAGGTAGCCACCTCACGGGCTAGCTCAAAGCGCCTACGCTTCATTCTTCTATAATCATTGTCCCAGCACTCTCTCCTATGGTAGTGGGTGTCATTCCCCATGCTCTCGGGGGTGGTATTCTCTACATGTTTCACCACTTTCCTCCCCATGATAAGGACGATTCTCTCTTGGAGAAGGGTCTCTGAACATGCGGTGGGTACCGCTTCGTGTTGGTGAGTGCTTGCTTCGACTCCGATTATGAGTCAAATAGCTTTTTTGTTAGAGAACAGTCCTTGTACTGGCAGGAATAAGCCTTTTCCCTACAATCATCTTGGCGGCTAAACTCATGGGTTGGACGTTTAACCTCACTGGCGAGTTTCCTGGTACTCTACCTCGGTAGCTAATCTGCCTTCTGAAATGAGGGCCGGTAGGTTGTGACAGGAAGGAGGTTGCTCTTTTAAGAGCTCCTATCCATGACAAAGTAGTGCTCCCAAAGACAATTGGAGGTCATTGTTCAACGGGTCTTCAAGAATTGGGGGTAGTGAAACTATTGTGCAGCAAGTTCTAGATCGAGAGTTCTCTCGCCGGACATGGTTCAAAATTTCTAGGTTGTGCGGGGAGAATTTCACACAAAGAGTCACCACCTCGTAAAGACGGGGATAACAGTAAGGGAAGCTCTAAGTAANGCCGAAAAACTTTGTCATTTCCCACAGATGGCACCAATTGTGCGGGGAGAATTTCACACAAAGAGTCACCACCTCGTACAGACGGGGATAACAGTAAGGGAAGCTCTCAGTAACCTATAAAATAAGATAAGAACTAAGTGAACTGATGGCTGGAGACGGCCAAAAGGACTTCAATATTTAATTCAGAAAGTGAGTCGAAGATAGTATGTAGTGAACAGACTAGGATTGAATCCTCTTACCTGATATATAGAGACTTTTACTTATAGTGATAGGAAATTATGTCCCAAAGTAACTCAAACTCTAGGTGGTGATAGGATCAACCTCATCACCAAGTCCTCAAAAATTCGGAGTAGTGTTAGACTAGGACTCTTGTTCCTAGGTAGAACCATATTTGCATAGGACTCATCTAGTGGAGGTGGGAAAACAGAGGGTGGTAGCTAGGTACCTCCCGGGTTTGGGTACCTGGCCGGCTGGGTTCCCCTTGGTGGGCTGCCGGCCAAGCTCTCCTTGCGGTGGGCCGGTCAGCACTTGTGCCTAGGATCCCCCAACATCACCTTTCCTCTATGCNGATAGGAAATTATGTCCCAAAGTAACTCAAACTCTAGGTGGTGATAGGATCAACCTCATCACCAAGTCCTCAAAAATTCGAAGTAGTGTTAGACTAGGACTCTTGTTCCTAGGTAGAACCATATTTGCATAGGACTCATCTAGTGGAGGTGGGAGAACAGAGGGTGGTAGCTAGGTACCTCCCGGGTTTGGGTTAGCTACTTGGCCGGCTGGGTTCCCCTTGGTGGGCTGCCGGCCAAGCTCTCCTTGAGGTGGGCCGGTCAGCACTTGTGCCTAGGATCCCCCAACATCACCTTTCCTCTATGCCTTATCTATAGTGGGTTGTCGGTTGGTAACAAGTTACTTGGAGCCCCACAATTTCAATAAATAACTATTGGTGTGTGCTAAATGTATACGTGTCTCATCCATATCTACGCACATTCTATGAGTTATTACAAAGGGAAGCTGGACTATCGTAACAGTTTACTTTCTATGGATTAGTCTTAGAATTTTAGAACAAGAATATCAATAAATTAAAGCAAAAAAAAATCTAGTAAAACACATAAAAGGGCACAACACTATTCTTTCACTTCGAACAAAGAGATTCAAGCAGACTCCGACTCTAGATTTTGCAAGCAACACAAAATCCAACTAAAGGGAAGATCTGACAAGTAGCAAACAAGGCTTCCCTTCTCAGTTTCCAATGAATTAATTGAACTTGAGAAAAAGAACACCAACGCTTGGGGAACTAATCATAAAATAAGTTCCCCCTCGTAAAATATCGTCTTTCTTCTCCTTTTAATTCTTCTGGCATTTCCAACCATCAGTGATTAGGCAGGATTTTCTTGTTTTTTGATCATTCTAATGGCTCTATAACCAAACAAATCGACACATCTCACAAAAACATAAGCATCTCCAAAAGGAGGGCCATAACTAATGAACATATCTTTTTGACCCTCATCCGCTGCCAAGACAAGAAGCAACAATCTTGAAAATGACATTACCCTGGAAGTTAATATGAGTATGTTAATATAACAAGCTCTAACAAACTTGTGTAATTTTGTGACAAGCTTGAGAGAGTTATTTTGTGGACATTTTGATTGTGATGATTAGCTAAGCATTGCTATTTTATGAGCTATCATAACCAACTAGAACGAATAAAAACCAAGCTCCTAGCTGAGTAAAAAAACACCATGGCATTTTTTGCCTTCCAATTGGGACAAAGGACAAAAATGATGCCTTGGTCTTGCGAGAATCACTATTGGAATTTTAAATATCCTGGGATTCCCCACCAAATGAAAAATGGATACTCAAGCTACTAACAATACCTTATATGACCAAAGAAGGTAAATGGATTGGCACACTTCCATCTAAGGCAATCTATTGCGAACAAAATCGTGCCCCATATGCTCAAAGACAAGCTATCCCTGCATCTAAAGCNTACCTTATATGACCAAAGAAGGTAAATGGATTGGCACACTTCCATCTAAGGCAATCTACTGCGAACAAAATCGTGCCCCATATGCTCAAAGACAAGCTATCCCTGCATCTAAAGCCACCGATTTTTCTTATTCTATATGACATGGATACTAACAGAGTTAATGACAACCATTTCACATAATTAGAGGGAGAGTCATCAACCTAATGGTAAATTTAAAGGTAAAGATAGAGGCTATAGCATGTAGGACTCCATACATAAATGTAACGCAAACACGTGACATAATGGCAAGAGATAATATGACAACAACGGAGCATTTAGGCTCTGCTAACAAGAATAAAGTTGATGTTCTGTTAGCCAATACATTGAAGAATGCAATAAACCGATACTGGATATTATATATGACCGCCACAAATTTGTCAAATAATCACCAAAATCAACATTTAAATAAGAAATTTGCATCTTTTTCTATTTTAGATATTTAAACTCTGTCCAGATTGTCTTCAAAAAGAAAAAACTCTGTCCAGACAGTTCTGAAAATTTTCATGAGAATAAAAAACTAGTCATACCCACAATGCATATTTGCAATATGATCTATCCTTTCATATGCCACCTCCCCACTTAATCATTGTAAATTACTGCCTATATCATTTCTTTTCTGCTATGACTAGAAAGTACACCACATATAAAATGTAACAAAAGAAAACTACCCCATCCATCACGGAGACAAAAACGAAAAGAGAAATAAGTGGGAAGGGAAATATCCATGCCTAGCTACAATAAAAAATAACTGAATACTAAGATTTTGCCACTTCAGTTCATTCGTTCCAAACCTCAACACTGCAATTTATATTATTTAAACAACTAAGCATATAATATTTTGTCACCTATATAACTGTAATAGGAAAGAAATATTTACCCTCTCAATATTGTCCATCATTATCCCTTTGACCTCCGTAATTTGTGCCTTTAGTTTGGATAGCTTACTCATTTCATCCGGATGGTTCATACAATATTCCATGTGGTCCTTAAGCCTTGGCCTAGTAAATAAAGCACGACATTATACGCAGATGGAAAAATAGTGTGGCAAACATTGACGACAAAATCATTAAGCAGATGCCCAAGAAAAGAAGTAATATATAGACCCGAATTCCCTGTCAAGATTGTATGCAATGCTGAATCGGTCTTCAAATAACTCATCATCACTATCCTCGTCATCAGCAAGGGGGTGTGGGCCATCACTCCTAATACTTGCACCATAACGCTGTTTAAAGTCATCTTTTACTCTCTCAAGAAAAACAAACGGTACACTCCTCCCTACTGATTCATCCGCGACAACAAGAAAAACTGCATGGCCAAAGAAAATGAAAATAGTCGTTAGGGAAATATTCGCGCCAAAAAATTATTTCCAACATGAATAAAGAATAATCAATACCAAATCCGATGTCAATGAGGAAGTTAAAGGTGTGTCCATCACACGAGTAGGTGTACTTGCTGCTATTAGAACGCAGCTTCTGTAAGCATTGGACAGCAATGGTACTGAAGTTTCCAGAGTAAGATGTATGCTCCGCTAAAACAACAGTTCCTTTCGCAACAAAGCTATAAATCAAACCTTTCTGACTCATCTCTTCACCACAAAAATAAAGCCAAGAACCCCTTAAAGCAAACCCACCAGTCTGTTAATGCCAGAATAACCTACCAAAACTAAATCAAACCTCAGATAAACATGCTGGATATTAATAAATATAGAAAATGCATCCAATCATCAAAACCCAGTACGAATTTCCACTGATATACAAACCACCAAAAAATTTGACATAATTAGTTTAAATGAGTAGTGAGGACCAAATTGTATACTGACTTGCCAAATATATATATACGCGTGCGAGGTTGTTTGTCCCTTTCCATATGTGTGTGACTGTGGGTGTTAAAATTAGCTGATTTCTTTGTGCCCAGTTAACAGAAAAGATTATGTCAGATAATCAAACGTGTGTAGATGGCACATTAGTTTTCATCCAATCATGATGATCAAAAGAAAACAAAAATAAAAACCCTAAGGAGTGTGTTTCGTGGCAATAAAGACCACGAAACCAGGTCTAAAAACACACAAATCACAAATTCCACCAAATTACGAACAGCAACTCGTGCTACTAGTGCCAATTGCATAATACTACAAGAATTAAACGGTAACTTTCGAACAAAAATCTTTGATCAACGTGACATGAAATTAAAAATCACAAACCACAATTTCTAAGTAGAAAGTCACAGGAGGACGTAGATTTACAAATGATGAAGAAAATTAATCCTTAATATAAAATTCAATCATCGATCTCATCAGAAATGACGTAAAACAGGCAGACATAAACAAAATTACCAGAATTTTTTAGCAGTGAGAGAATATCCTCAATCGGAACAGATCAATAAGCACACAGAGAGAGAGACAGAGAAATGTATGTGTGTGCGCGTAGGGAGAGAGGGAGCAGAGAGAGAACCTAAGAATGGAATGCGAAGTTGGCTTCGCGGGGATGAATAGGCTGAACTGGGGGAGGCTAAACAGCGATGGAGTCGAGGTTAAGATTTAAGGGCGGATTTAGTTTGAATCATAAGACAAAGGGAAATTCAGATTTTTTTTGTAATTTTAATATAAAAGATATTTTAGATCATTTCAAAAATTTTGATTTAACGGTTTATAGTTAGTCTTGAATTTTATTTTTTTGCTCACGAAGAAGCCTCTTATCGTAAGACTCTAAATTTCTATTTCTTATACGTCTCCATCTTAAATTTGAAAAAATATAACAATAACTCAGATTGAATTTATTTTAAATTAAATGATCTAAATATTGTATGTTAAAAATGTATTATTTGTACCTTCATTTAGGTTGATTTTATTTAATTTCTAATTTTACGATAAAACTTTGTATAAAATTAAAAATATTTCTNTGTGTATTGAACAGTTGACGTATTATATAAACTCGTGCGGGGACGCAGGCGACGATAAATTGACACTTATCCTCACTCCGCCCCTCCCCGCTCCACTTTAACCGTTATTATTATTATTATTTTATACATATANAGTTTAGTGTTTTTTTTTTAAGTTTGATAGTTTAACATTTGACTCCAATAACTACATACACATTGTCACTACAACACAAAAACCAATACTCAAATAGACAATGTCACCATTTTTGGACATATAAGTTATTTAGTATATTAATTTTTTTAAAACATTTGATATAATATTTCATTAAAAATTATTATATACTTACTATATAATTTTTTATTTTTTTTATTACAAATTGATTCATACCTAGAGTACACTATAAGTAGATCTTTTTATCATGCATCTTAATACTGATGGTTGATGTTTACTTCTTACTTCTTATCAATCAATGAAGTTGAAATTGTTTTTATAATCCATAAATAAAATCATCAAGTTATTATTCATATCAAAAATAAATCATTACTGTATGAAAACTTATAGTTCTCAAAAAAATTTAAAAAATTCAAAACCCAAGTTAATCAGCAATTAAAAAAAAAATAAGTGATCAATACAAAAAAAATAAGATATCAATTGCACCAACAAAAAATGTTCAAAACCAATCTAATCAATTTGTGTTGAAATTATTCAAACATTCTATCTTTGTTTGTTAAAATTTTATAAGTAATATATTGTCTTCAGGCACGGACAAATGACTAGTATATTTATATTTGGTACTCGTCAGATGTACAAATATATTTTAATTATTTTATCTTTAATTAATTTAATTTATACCTATATTAAATAATACAATTATCTTTTACATCATTAATCTCTTATCCGCCTTTTCAAATCCACCCTCCCGTAAGTTTGACAAAATTTCTATTGGCCGGATTGGGAAATCAATGACTGATTTTTCTAAACAACCATAAAATTTAGAAGAATCTTAGATTATTTTTTCAAAAACTATCTTGCCAAACCCTTATACCCTTTACCAAACAGCCCCTGAGTCTGTTTCATTGACGTGGTGTTTGGACCACGGGATAAAGAGAGTTAAAAGAAAAAGAGCTAATTATCTTTTGCCTTCCTGTGGGTTGGAAGGTTTGCGCTTTACCACCCTAGACGTTCGATATTATACTCATAATCCCCTGGAGATTTTGGACCAGAGTGAAAAATGTAATACAGTTAACAAATAGAAGAAAATGACAATTTATCCCTTCTTCCTCCTCCTTCCCCAGTTCGTTTCCTCACATGTATGGATATGTAAATAGAGAGAGAATATATAAATAAAATCTACTTCCCTCCAAAATGGCTCTTAAACAAAACTTCTCTATCTAGTTATAGCCAAATCAATATTGAGTAGCAATAATCATCCAGTGAAGAAATAGGTAGCTAAAACCATATCTATAAGCGGGGGAGAGAGAGATAGAGAGAACAGACCACAAAATTGAAATGGGTTCATCTTGACTCCAAGCAACAGCTTTTTTTGAAGCCTTGATAGATTAGTTTCAGTTCACCAAAGCAGTACCCAACAATTTATCCCCAAGCTGCCAACCTTTTTAGAACTTTCTTCTGCAAATTCGATATGCGAAGAAAAAGAGAAAATTGCCAACGTTGCTGCGTTTGTTCCCTGCATGTAATCGCTGTTGAAAGTCATCGCCTCTGAGCTTCCCCAAAGGCCTCATCGCTACCAACGGCTGTGATCCTAGGCTCGTGTCGGTTGAGTAGGATGGCAGTAGATTTGGTAAAAATTAGTATTCATTCAAATTTGTTTTGTTCGGATTAGAGATCGATCATATGTATTGAACAGTTGACGTATTATATAAACTCGTGCG